CCGCCAGGAAGAGATCGACCGATCACGCTGACCCCGGGGCCCTACCGATTGTGGAGTGTTCTGAGGAAATCGCCAGTGACAGCGTGGGCACGAGAGCGCGCGTGTTTCTGGGACTCGGCGGCGAAAGGAAGCAGCCCTCTGAAGGCAGCAGTCTTGAGACAATTCGAAGCGGAAGCCTGCGGGCTCCTGAACATCCACTGGGTCCAGTTTCTCCGGGTTGCAGAGAAGTTGTATGACCTCGTCCAACCGTTGACCCGTGCAGACCTGGCTCAATCGCTTCAGTGCCCGCTAATGCCTTTCTATCTTGACCTACTGCAACACCTTGCAGACCGTTGGCTTGCTGTGTTTCTGATAGTGAACAGACTACCAACTCTATTATTGCGGGATGCATGCAGAGTGCGGCCTGGTCACGAATGTATACATGGGACACGTTGGGCGGCATTCATAGAATATGCCCACCCCCGTCAAACCATATCGACAGTTGGGTCGATCATATGGCGCAGCTCAATATCGGCAGTAGAGCATCAGCGCTGCGACAAGCGACGGGGGCGGTTAGCACTTTGGCCGCGACATTGACTCGAAGAGGATTGAGAATTTCAAAAAAAGTCAGTGGGGCTGTGCAGCACGCCGGCGCTGCGAGACAACCTTCGACGCGCCGCCGTGACCCTCGGCCCCCCGATCAAGGTAGACGCGAAGGCCAGAGACTTGGGCATAGACGTCACTAGCAGCGCGAGGGCGCACGGGGCGATCAAAGAGAGACAACCGAAGGGTTCGCGAAGAGCCTGTGCCATCAGGTTTTCAGGTAGAGCCTCCAGGGGTTCCAAGAGTCTGGCCAAGACGGGGCACAATCCACAGGTTGCCTGGGGAGCCGTTGCGATGAGCCTAGCGCCGACGACTTTAAGGAAGCTCAGAGCTCAAGTTTCATCAATGTGCGGCAGCAAATGGGCTGGGTTGTGCGACCACCGCCATGAGGATGAGCCTAGGGAAAGCACAGTGACCCAATGTTTCGGGGGCCTTTAAAACTCCTTTTGGCTTGGCAGGAACACCTCCCTGGGGCCCCCAGTGGAGGGGGGCGCTGGGGCGCGCCTGGCAGGAGTCGCTGAAGATGCTCCGGCAGGTTCCCAACCGCCGGCAGCATGTGCGAGGGCATCTTGCTGCAGTCCAAGCGACTCTCCTAGATATGAAATGGATACCTACTTCGCCAGGGGAATGGGCCATCCCATTTGGATGGCCCAGCGGGGCCAGAAGCCCTTCGGTTCGAAGTTGGGCCCTCCCTGGAGCAACAGAGCTGGGCCCAAGCCAGTCAATGCTTCGATGGTTCTGGGGTTGAGTTCGGCGTCGACCTGACTGCGACATGGGCCCGCCTCCAGCGTCTGCGAGCCAAAGGTATGACAAATCTAGCTGCTGCTTTAGAAATGATGAGTCATGGGGCCTTGTGGCCTGCCAAGCGAAGGTTTGGAAGCACTGAGCTCGGTTCGCCCATCTGCCCAAGATGTGGAGAGCAGGAGGAGACGCTTTATCATTTGCTATGGGGTGGCCCATGCAATTCGCTAAGTGAAGGCCTTGCAGATGAGGGCAACCTAGCAGGGCAAGCGAAAGTAGGAGCGCAGCAGTTCCTTTGTTTTTGGTCACGGGGGCCGGTACCAATTTTACGGACCATAGAGGGTGCTGACTTGCCCCTGCCTGCAGAAAACGCCGAAGGAGATTGGCCGCGTGAAGGCCAGCTGGAACTCCCCCCAAATATAACGATAGGCAGTGATGGCGCTGGGGGTGAGCACTCTAGAGGCGCTCGTCTGAGGAGAGTTGGATGGTCGTTCGCCGTCTGTGTCGATAACCAAGTCAGGGCGTCCTTCAGAGGTAGCGTAGCAGGCCCGCGCCAGACAGTTCCGAGGGCTGAATTAATAGCAGTAGTCAGAGCGCTCCAAAAAACCAAAGGAGACGCCACAGTAGTAATCGACGCCAGTTATGTCATCAAAGGCATTGGACAAGGCCGCCAGGAAAGGTACACTTCGAATGCGGAGCTCTGGGTCGAATTCTGGGAGGCGACAGACAGTCACCAAGGGGCTTTCACTTATAAGAAAGTCAAGAGCCATCTTGCAGAAAGTGAGATAGGCCACAGCATCCCTAGGGATCACTGGTTTGCAAATAATGCCGCTGACAAGCTAGCGGAGCAGGCAGCCCCAGAGGCTGCACCACCCTACAATTTGGTTTTTCAGGTTAGAGAAGCCGACAAACTTGCCTGGCGGGTCCAGAGACATGTCGTTGCAGTGGGCCTAGAACTGGCCACGGAAGCGAAGGGTTTTTACGGGACCAGTTTCAAAGGCGATTCGGCGGCCCGATCAAAGCAAAAGGCCCAGGAGCTAGCCTGTGCGGCCCAGGGCGTCACACGTTTCATCGAATTGTATTCCCCTTGTGTGCCTGGCCTCAGCAAGGATGGCCAAGAGCATGCTTAAGAGGATTGATGAAGGGCGTTTGCCCAAGGTGTTGAAGCATTGGCCAGACTCCGTCCCAGGGGCTTGAAGGGTCCGCAGCCGTCCTGCGATAGCCTGGCCGACGACCGCCCGCTGGGTTCGTCGGGCCCGGCTGCCTCGGGGAGGTTCGCGGGCCTTCCGAGCTCGTTGGGCTATCCTTTTTTTCAGTTTTGTATTTTGCACCCGCGGTCTCGTATCGCGGAAGAGGGACCCCAGGGGTCAGTGGAGAGTGCTCTGGCCTGCGTGGTCTCTTTTAAGAGAGGCGGCGAAGTCACCTTCGGTTGCGCCTCAGGTTGTAGCGCAGGAGGAGGAGGAGGAGGAGGAGGAGGAGGACGAGGAGGAGGAGGGAGGAGGGGGAGGGGGAGGCGGAGGCGGAGGAGGAGGAGGAGGAGGAGGAGGAGGAGGAGGAGGAGGAGGAGGAGGAGGAGGAGGAGGAGTGGTGCCACTTTGGCTCGAGTGTTCGGGCAAGCCGGAGAAGGAAAACAGCATACCCATCGGTCGTGGAACATTCCCCACTCAGTGCTTGCACTGAAGGGGTCCTAGCGGAAGTTGAAAGATTTGGCGACAATTTCCCGCCGATTTTGGTAGCCGGCTGGGTTCCCGTGTTCCGGCTCCGGGTTCCCAGGTTCCCGGTTATTGGTTCCGGGCCGATTTCGGTGGGTTCTGCGTTCCCAGGCTCTCGGGTTCCCGGTCGATCTCTTCAGCGAAAGCCATCCATTGATTGGGTTTTTTTCTCTGGTGTAATTGGTATTTTGGGAGTCCCAGATTCCAAGCTACTGTAAGCACCTTCCTACTTCAATGATCCATTGGCTTCACCTTTTTCCGTCCTTTGTAGGGGGCGGGCGGACACACATTCTAGTCTCAACGCCTTCCTACTTCATGTTTCATGTTTCTACCTACTTCTTCCGACCGATGGGCATGCCATAAACATGAACTGTCAGAGCTCCAGGCTGATTTGTTGGATCTGCGCTGGGGCCTCCTGGCGCGCTCCGCGTTTCAGCAAGGGGGGCCCAACGCAGATCCAAGAATTCCGCGCGGACCTCCGAAAGCTCATGTTTATGCAGTCTTCTTCTCTATTCGACAGCAAGCCAGCTAGATCGCTCCTTCCAGCCACGCTCGCACGGCATGTCGTTGGGGAAGTTCTCGCCTGCGGCCTTCGCGCTGCTGCTCGCGGCGGCTCTGGCGGCTCTGGCGGCGCCGCCGTTGGCCGGCAGCGCCGAGGGCGAGTGCGAGGACGCCAAGACGAGCGACGACGCCAAGACGAGCGACGACGAGGCGGCTCTGTTGCAGGTTCGCAGCTCTGGAAACGCCACTGGCAACGCGACCACGCATGCCTCCAGCAAGGGCAACGCCACCGGCAGTGCCTCCAGCAAGCGGGCGCGCTTCGTGCCCGCTCCCGGGTCCATCATGCCGGACGACAGGTGGACAACGAGGGACTCGTGCTTCATCAACGGCTACTACGAGATGGGGCAGAAGACGGACGTCCTGTACGCGAGCCTCGGCTCCGCGGACGTCTACACCGCCAAGGTCCTGTGCGTGAACAGGCCGGGCTGCAAAGGCTTCTCGTTCTACCGGGACGGCGCGGGGGACCTGCACGTCTACTACGGCACCGCGTCCGACGGCAGCGGCTGGGGGTGCCCTGACTCCGGATCCGCCCTACTTTGGGGAAATTCGTAAATAGGGCTTGGAATTTCCGCCTTACTTTTCAAGCCCCGCTGATGCCAATTTCCGCCCTACTTTTCTGTTGCTGGTTCTGTGGATTTCCGCCCTATTTTATGTTGGGTGCAGCAATTTCCGCCCTACTTTTTCGGCCTCTGATAGGTGGATTTCCGACGCAATTTTAAGTTGGAAAAAAAGCCAAAGTAGGGCGGATGCGGAGTTGAGGTGCGTCGAGAGCCCCGGGTGGACGACCGTGATGCAGTGCCACGAGCCGCAGTGCTACCTGCCGCCGCCCACCACCACCCTCCCCGGAGAGCCCGGCCTCCCCGACCCAGTCTGCACGGACCGCGGGCACCGCCTCCCTGTTTTCGAGGGAAGTAAAACGACGCGAAGATCGGGACAAAATCGGATCGGGATAACTCGAAATCTCTGAGAATCGGCGGGTTTGGAGGATGTATTGGGCGCCGCGGCCGCTCCAGAGCGTTCCGGAACGCTCTGAGAGCGCTCCAGAACGCTCTGGGGCGATTTATCCCGATCCTAGCCCTGTTTTAGGAAGGAAAAAACGCCATATGCACAAACGTGGGGCGCTCCGCGCGGAATTTCTTGGGATCGCGGGGCCCCCCTTGGCGGCCCCTGCGGCGCCCCCTCCGTGGCGCGCTCCGCGCGCTAGGGAGGGGGGTCCAGCGCGGATCCAAGGAATCCGCGAGGAGCGCCAAAAGTTTTATGTTTATGGCGATGTTCCTTCCTCTGTGCTTGTTCTCTCCACCCGTTCCCCCTCCACTCCACGGTGCGGTTCCGTCCTTTCTGACCTCCTTCTGTTTTTCCTTCGCCCTTCTCTTTGCTATTTCCCTCCCGCCTTTTCGGCCCTGTAGCCTTCGAAGCCTTTCTATTTCTCCCTCGCACCTCCTCCTCCTCCTCCTCCTCCTCCTCCTCCTCCTCCTCCTCCTCCTCCTCCTCCTCCTCCTCCCCGTGGCCATTTTGGCTCAAGTCCGAAACCTCGCCGCGAGGCTTCGAGCTTGCCCGCAGCCGTGCGGCAGGCTCGAGATCCCTCTTGCAGGAGTTTCGGCATCGCGGCGGTCTCCGTCAGTTTGGTGAGTGCTCGCACCCGGCGGGCCAGCTCGGTTCCAGTCGGAGGGCACCAACTATACACCAACACCGATCCTGGCCCAGGATCACCCTGGGCCCAGGATCGGTGTATATGCCTTCTTGCGCAAGGCAGGGGGGCGTATACACCGATCCTGGGCCCAGGGTGATCCTGGCCAGGATCGGTGTTGGTGTATAGTTGGTGCCTTCCTAATCGAGGGCCGAAGGTTGGGAGCCCGGGCGGAGCACAGTCTCATGCCGAGGGCAGAGCCTGCGGCCACCAGTGGAACTGGGTCTCCAACACCACGTGCTTCCAGCCCAGACCCCCGACGTAATGATTTTTTCATTACGTCGACCCCCAGAGGTCCCGACCCTTTCCCCATGACCGGCTTTGCATCCTGAGTCGTTTTTTGACGCTCCCGAGGCCCGGCGAGGGCCCCCGGAGGCTGAAAATGAAGGAAAACCTCCCGTCGTGATTTTTTCATTGCTCGAGGGGGTCTGGGCTTCCAGTGCCGCAGGGGCCTGCTGCCTGCGAGATCGCAGGAGAGGGCGCCGTCGGGGGCATATAGGGCATCGCCAGGGGGGGGGGGGGGGCCTGGCGCGCGGGCCGCCGCCCACGGCGCCGGCAGCGGGCAGCCACGCCATGGGGAGCTGCTTCGACAGCTCCGCGCCGTGCTGCCGACGGACGACGCCGCCACGGTGAAGGAGCTCGCCGTCCCCAGACCTCCTCGCGCCGTGAAAAAATCACGACGGGAGGTTTTTCGCTATTTTCGGCCTCCGGCGGCCCTCGCCGGGCCTCGGGAGCGTCAAAAAACGACTCAGGACGCAAAGCCGGTCATGGGGAAAGGGTCGGGACCTCTGGGGGTCGACGTAATGAAAAAATCATTACGTCGGGGGTCTGGGCTCAGAGGGTGCAGGAGCTCGCCGTCGCCCTGGCTCCGCCGCCCTCGGCCCGCGCCGATGTCGTGCTCAACCGGGCGCGGGCGCGAGCCCGCAGGGCGGAGCACGCCCTCGGGGCGGCCGTCGCGGCGGCCGCGGACGCCGGGCAGCGGCTGGACGCCAAGAGGGTCGAGCGTGAGGACGCCATCGTGGGAGGGGCCGAGGCCGAGGCTGCGGCGGCCCAGGCCTGCGCCGCCGCTGCCCCCGATGGCGCCGCCGCCCCCGCGGCGCCTGCCGCGACTGCAGCCTGCGCCCCTGCGGTCGGCGCCGCCCTGGGTCGCCCGCGCCTCCTGGAGCAGGACGCGGCGGTCCTGGACGTCGCGGCGGGCGCGCCCTTCGACCCCGAGGGCCTCGACATACCCAGACATCGGGCGTCTCGAAAAAATCGAGACGGAGGTTTTTCGCAGTTTTCGGCCTCTCGGGGCCCTCGCCGGGCCTCGGGACCGTCAAAAAACGACTCGGGATGAAAAACCGGTCCTGGGGAAGTGGTCGGGAGGTCGGGGGCCCGCGTCTCGAAAACATCGAGACGTCGGATGTCTGGGTATCCGACGCGGAGAAGGCGCAGTTCCAGGAGCAGGCGGCCAACTTCGCCCAGAGCAGGCCCAAAAGGGGAGGTCCAGAAGCACTGCGGGCCTGCCGCTGGGGGGATATGCAGGCCCTGCGGCGCGGAGCTCGAGACCATGCAGAGGACCGCCTCGAGGCCACGCGCCCGGGGTCGGCCGCCCCGGCGCCCGCCGCCCCAGCCGCCGCCCCAGCCGCCGCCCAGCTGCCCCAGCAGCCGGCAGGGAAGGCGGCAGGCCCAGGGAGGAGAGGGCGCTGAGGAGCCAGCCGCGAGGGGCCCCGCCGAGGGGGCCAGCTCCCCCCCCCCCCCCCCCTGGCCAGGGTCCCGGGCCTGCTGCTGATCCTGCCGGGTCCAAGCACGAGCGGCAGCGCCAGCGGGGCCCCACGAGCTCCACGCCGCCAGGTGGACCCTGCCGAGCGTGACCGAATCCTGGCCAGGGCGGGCGGGGCCTCCGAGGCCAGGGGGCGCGGCCTCAGGAGCCTGGAGCATGCCGCGGCTGACTCCCACCCCTTGGCACGAAGCCGCTCGGCTCAAGCGGCGCCCAGCTCGGCGCGGCCTGCGCCGCGGGCGTGGCAGGCGCCCCGCCGCCCCCGCGCTGCTGGCCCCAGGCGCTGCCGCGGCGTACGTGAAGAAGGTCGGCTTCTTCGCCCACGGCCACGCCTGCCAGCCGACCGCGGACGCGCGCCCGAAGGCGGCCCCGGCGCAGGGCAGGGCGGGGTGGGGGGGGGGGCAGGTGCTGCGCCGGCGGCAGGCGCCGCCCTGGGCCCGACGGGGCGCGGTGGAGGCCAAGGGTCAGGGCCCCGAGAGGAGGAGAGCGCTGCACGCCAGGTGGACCTTGGAGCGCCGCCTCCGCACGCGCACTGGCCACTGGGCGGAGGGCCCGCTCACAAGCGACGACGGCATGGACGGCTTCCTCTGGCGCAGGGCCGGCGTGCCGCGCGTGGCTCGGCACCTGGAGCGCCCGCTCACGGAGTCCTTGGTCGTCGAACGTGCTGCGCCAGATGGGGCCTCCATCCCGCAGGCCCGCATCGACATGGCCATCGAGACTCGCCTGCGAGTCTTTCGACAGAGGCGACGGCAGCGGCGGCGATATTCCCAATGGATGCGGCACCTGTTCGGCGAGGACGCGCAGGCATGGCGGTGGCGGTGGTGCGAGCACCAAGACGCGATGCGCAGGGGGGCCGAGGATCTCGACAGCGGCCAATGGCTAGCTCACGCCCACATCGTCCGCACCCTTCTGGACACGGACACTCCTTCAGCGTGCTGCCACCAGGGCGGCCCCAGCTACCTCCAGAGCTTCCGCAGCCAACAGGATGACCCCAAGGGGGCAGTCAGCATCGCCAGCGCGGAGAAGGCTACCCGTGGCAAGGGGGCCAGGCACACGCCAGGCATGACCATACGAGGGCTCAACGCCAACTCCTGGTCATCCCTGATCGACCGCGTCGACGAGCACCCGCTGGGGCTCAACGCCATCCTCTGCGTCAAGTCCTCGGCCAACTACATAGGGGAGGTCAGCGCCTCCTGCTACGCGAGGCACCTCGTGGTCGGCCTGACGGCCGCAGCGCGTGGGCCTGCTGGGGGGCGCGTTGCAGGCGTGGGCTTCGTGGCCCCCAGTGCCTGGGGCTCACCTACTTCGACGGCGTGGACGCCTTCGACTCCCCCCCCCTGGCTCGCCTGGGCGGCCCGCGGCCGCGCGGGCGCCGGGGTTCCAGAAGGGAGGGGTCGTGCTGGTCACCGCCTACCTCTTGACGGCCGAGGGCTGGGCCATCCGTGACCTATCGCTCCTCGACGCCACGGGGGAGCTGGCCCGCTCCTACGGCGTCCCCCGGGTGCTCCAGGCGGGCGTCAACAACGCGCCCGACACGCTCAAGAGCAGCGGCTGGTGCGCAGACGCTGGGGGCATCCTCTTCGCCGCCGAAGAGCCTACCTGCCCAGGGCGCGGAGGTGGGAGAGTCAGAGATTTCTTCGTCGTCGACACCCGCAGCGCGCGTGCCCTCGACGACGCCGTCACCGTGGACGCCTCCGCCTCCCCGCACAGCCCTGTGGCTATCACCGCCACCAGGCCCCTGCGCGCCATGACGGGCTGACGCTTGACGAAGCCGAGGGCTTTCCCCGCGCGGGTTCCAGTGGGCTGCAGGCCCATGCCGCCCAGCTGGCCGCAGCTGGACCCCAACGTGAGCTACGACGACCAGCAGCTCGACGACCTCCGGCGCCAGTTCTCGGCCGCGGCCAAGTCCGACCTGCAGGAGCTGTTCGACCTGCGCGGGGAGCACGGCCACGCGGGCAGGGGGGAGGCCCCGCGCTGGGCACGCGCCCCGCGGGTGGGCCAGAGGCGCACGCTCGGCCGCGAGGCCCCACGCGACCCCGAGCCTGGCGCTGGGCGGCGGCACGCCTGGGCGACATCACCTTTACTGGCGGACGCGGCGCGGCGCCAGGGCTGGGAGCCGTTGGCGGGCCGCTGGCGCCGACTCCACGGGCGCCCCACACACGGCGCCGCGCGCTGGCGCGGCGCCCTTGGAGGGGGGACTCACGACGTCCACCGCGAGCTGCTGCGGATCGCCGGCCTCGCCTGGACGGGCGACGCGCTGATGATCGAGGCCCCTCAGGCGATGGCCCTCCAGCGCCGAGCCGCCGCCGAGGCCCGCTCCATCGAGAGCGCCCTCCAGTCGCAGCGCGCCAGGGCCTGGCGCGAGCGGCTTCGCGACGGCTCAGCTGGAGGGGCAGGCTTCATCCACCACGTGTCCAAGTGGAAGGCCAGCGCCGCCCCTGCGGTAGGCGCCAGAGGTCGCGCGAACCTGGACATGACGGGCCCTCAGATCGCGGCGGACACAGCAGCCAGGGACTGGATCGACCTGCGGCAGTCCCACGGCGCCGAGAGCCGCGGCGAGCTGCCTAGGCCTTGGGAGGAGGTGGAATTCCCTGCCTGCCCGGCCCACACCGGGTGCGCGGGCCCCCCTCGAGGTGGACGGACCTCGGGGCGCGCTCCTCCTCCTCGGCCCTCCTCGCTCCTCCTCCCCGCTCCTCCTCCTCGCTCCTCCTCCTCCTCCTCCTCCTCGATCCTCCTCCTCCTCCTCCTCCTCCTCCTCCTCGGCCTCCTCCTTCTCCTCCTCCTCCTCCTCCTCCTCGGCCTCCTCCTCCCTCCTCCTCCTCCTCCTCCTCCTCGGCATGCTCCTCCTCCTCCTCCTCCAGCTCCTCCTCCTCCTCGCTCCTCGCTCCTCGCTCCTCCTCCTCCTCCTCCCTCCTCCTCGGCCTCCCCTCGGCCTCCTCCTCCTCCTCCTCCTCCTCCTCCTCCTCCTCCTCCTCCTCCTCCCCGCCGAAGGACAAAGATGGAGGGCTGCACCTCCCCACCCTCGAAAGGAGCGAAAGGAGACCTAACATGGGCGCGAAGGACGCACAATTGAGGAGGTCCAGCATGAGAAACAAGGGGGGCGGGCACCCCTGGAGGGGCGCGAGGGAAGCACAAGTCAAGGTCAAACATGAACAACAAAGGGGGGCAGGGGGAGCAAAAAGTAGAGGCTGCACCCCTGGAGGGGCGCGAGAGAAGCACAGTGCAAGGTCAAGCATGAACAACAAAGGGGGGCAGGGGAGCAAAACGTAGAGGCTGCACCCTTGGAGGGGCGCGAGGGAAGCACAATGCAAGGTCAAGCATGAACAACAAAGGGGGGCAGGGGAGCAAAAAGTAGAGGCTGCACCCTTGGAGGGGCGCGAGGGAAGCACAATTCAAGGTCAAGCATGAACAACAAAGGGGGGCAGGGGAGCAAAAAGTAGAGGCTGCACCCTTGGAGGGGCGCGAGGGAAGCACAGTTTAAGGTCAAACATGAGAAAAAGGCGGCGGGGGAGCAAAACGTAACATAGAGGCTGCACCTACCCCTGCAGGGGTGGGGCAGGAGGCAGAGACGGGGCGGGGGACAACGCCCCTCTAAACACAACAACGCCCACAAGAAGCAATGTATGCAAACATGTCTATACATTTATAGATGTGTGAATTTTTAATATATATATATATATATATATATATATATATATATATATATGGATGCATATGCATATGGTTATGTTTATGTGTGTAATTTATATGTCTAAGTATATGTGTATGTATATATATGTGTGTATATGTGTATATGTATATGTATAGGGGGTATGTATGTGTAAATTGATATGTATATGTATATGTATAGATGTATGTATATGTATATGTATATGAGCATGTATATGTATATGTGTATGTGTATGCATATGTTTATGAACATGTATATGATTATGCATATGTATAGGTAATTGTATAGGTATAGGTATAGGTATATGTATAGGTATATGTATATGCATATGCATATGTATATGTATATGTATATGTATACCCAAAAAAACGGCAGCGCCGGCGAACACCCTGGGGCGAAAGTCGGCAGCCGGCGAGGCGCGCGCCAGGCGCGGAGGCGCCAGGCGCGGCCAGCAGAGGAGGGGGCGGCCGCGGGGGAGGAGGGAGGCCCTCTCGCCGCCCTCCCCTCTTGCTCCCCAGACCCCCTCGAGCAATGAAAAAATCATGACGGGAGGTTTTTCCTAATTTTCGGCCTCCGGGGGCCCTCACCGGGCCTCGGGAGCGTCAAAAAACGACTCAGGATGCCAAGCCGGTCCTGGGGAACGGGTCGGGACCTCTGGGGGTCGACGTAATGAAAAAAACATTACGTCGGGGGTCTGGCTCCCTCCCGCGGGGAGGAGTGATGTTCAGCTCCTCCCTCCTCCTCGCTCCTCCTCCTCCTCCTCCTCCTCCTCCTCCTCCTCCTCCTCCTCACTCCTCCTCCTTCCCTTCCCTGCCCCTCTCTGCCCCATCTTGCTCCCTCCTCCGCCCTCCCCTCTTGCTCCCTCCCTTCCCTTTTCTTCCCCAGAAGCATGGTCGCTTCGTTGCAGGATCAGGACGGCAAGTTTCTCCACATTTTCGGCCTCTCGAGGCCCTCGCCGGGCCCCAGGACCGTCAAAAACGACTCAGGATGACAAACCGGCCCCGGGGAAAGGGTCGGGATTTCCGGGGACGCCGTCCTGAAAAAAACAGGACGTCACATGTCTGGGTCGGTATCGTTGAACCGATCCCCATCCCCATCCCCATCCCCATCCCCTTCGAGACCCCCACCAACTTACCCCCCCAGCTGGGGGTACACCCTTCGAGACCCGAAGGGAACGGCCTCTATCGCCAGCTAGAGGGGTACAGCGGCCAGTGGGGCCCAGGCCACGCCGCTGGGGATGGGGATCTGTTGAACGATACTCACTTCTCCCCGGAGTCTGCTCGAGCGCGTGTTAGGCTTGCCTTATCCCCAGACCCCCGACGTAATGATTTGTTCATTACGTCGACACCCAGAGGTCCCGACCCTTTCCCCATGACCTGCTTTGCATCCTGAGTCGTTGTTTGACGCTCCCGAGGCCCGGCGAGGGCCGCCGGAGGCCGAAAATTGGGAAAAACCTCCCGTCATGATTTTTTCATTGCTCGAGGGGATTTGGGTGTTAGGCTTGCCTTATCCTGTTCGCAGACCTCGGATCGCAGCGGCGTCCGTCGAGAGAGCCGAGGGGGCCAAAGAAAAGATCGGGCGGCCCGCCCAGAGAGGACTACGGCACGGCCTGGACCGACGGCACGGACGACTGCGCGGCCTACGCCGCCAACAGCAACGGCCGCAACGACGGCTGGTGCGCCGTCTACGGAGCCACCAAGGGCCCCGACGGCTACTCGGCGCTCACCACCCACCAAACCACCCCAACCCAACCCGAAGGCTCAGATTTACCCTCAGTTTCCAGTGGGGGGGGGTCGGGAAACATCGAAAAAACACACATATGGAACCCTTACCCCCCCCAACCCGAAATGCGGGTCTTCGGGTCGGGTTGGGGTGGTCTGGTAGGTCGTCAGGCGCAGGAGGCCTGCTGCGCGTGCGGGGGAGGCGCCACCATCGTCGCGGGCCGGCCCTACCTGGTCCTCGGGAGCCCCCCAATAGCCCGGGCCTCCTAATTAGGTGCGGTCCGCGCCGCGGAGGTCGGGCGATCGCGCCGCATCGCCGATGCGTCGGCGATGCGGCTCGACGTGGAGCCCGACCTTCTCCACGCCGACGGCGCCGATGCATCGCCGATGCATCGGCGATGCATCGGCGATGCGGCGTGATCCTCCGACCCCATCGGCTCGGACCCCTATGAGGGACTCGGAGGTTGATGGGCCTCCTGCTTTGACGCGTCGATTCAGGAGCTGGCCGGCCGTTGTCGGCTTGCGAGAGGGCGTCGTGGCCGTCATTTTTGCGGGTCCAGGTCCGTCGGTTTCGGAACCAGGCCGTTTTCACTAAGGGGAGGTTTACTAAAGGGAGGTTTGTCCACCGCCGATTCTTCGAAAGTTCTTTGATTTTCGGGGGGGCCGAGATCCTCTCATTTCTAGATGTTTTATCCTGGGCCTCTTCCTGGCCGCTGGGGGGAGGTTTGTCCACCGCCGAAGGAGGCTTCTACGAAACGGTACCAGTGCCGCTCCGCCCCGGACCTCTGCCGGGGTGCGTTCTGGCGCAGCCAGCGGGTGCTGGCAAGGGCAGCGGTGTGGGTACCTTTTCCTCCCCTGAGTCCTTCATCGCGGTAGCCAGTCCTGCACCTTCGAGGAAGAGGAGGAGGAGGAGGAGGAGGAGGAGGAGGAGGAGGAGGAGGAGGAGGAGGAGGAGGAGGAGGAGGAGGACTCTTTGGGGTTTTGTGTAAGCACAACGGGCTGAGGAAGAGCGAAAGAGAGGAGGAGAGGAGGAGGAGGAGGAGGAGGAGGAGGAGGAGGAGGGAGGAGGAGGAGGGAGGAAGGAGGAAGGAGAGGAGGAGGAGGAAGGAGGGAGAAGGAGGAGGAGGAGGGAGAAGGGGAGGAGGAGGAGAGGAGGAGGAGGGAGTCGCAGCAGTGGTGCCTCCGCCTCCTCCGAGGTCCAGGGCGTGTCCTTCCTGGCCTCCTCGCGCCCGGACGAGGGCGCGACGGCCGCGGGCGGCTGGGGGGCCCCGGAGGGGCGCCTGGGCGGCGTGCCGGGCGGCAGCGGCCTCGCCGCGCGGCTCCTCGCGGAGGGCCGCCGCCGCGCCCAGCAGGCGTCGGCGGAGGAACGTCCAGCAGTGGCGGGGCGGCCTGGCTTGTGGTGGGCCGGTTTCCCGCCACCACCACCATAAGTTGCAGGGGGGAAGGAGGAGGAGGAGGAGGACGAAGAGGAGGAGGAGGAGGAGGAGGAGGAGGAGGAGGAGGAGGAGGAGGAGGGGGAGGAGGGGGAGGAGGAGGAGGAGCAGGAGGAGGAGGAGGAGGAGGAGGACTCTCTCCCCCTCCAACTTATGGTGGTGGTGGTGGTGGCAAACAGGCCCATCAGCTTGGCCGTGATCCTAGCGCCGCATTTTTTTCACAACAGCCGTTTTCGCTCAGTTTCGGGCCCTGGGACCCTCACATAGCGAGCCGGCTCGAAAACCGACGCAGAAAGATGGGGTCCAGGGCTCCGGGCGTGATGTTTTGCGATGCTGCAATTTTGTGCAATGTCGGATCTCAGGCTTGCCTGCAGGCCCACGACAGAATGTTCTACGAACCTTTTGTTGTTCGCACGACGTTCCCCAATCAGAGCTTGTCTCTGTAGGGGTCCAAGCGGATTCACATGGTTAGGTGAGGTACGGCGCCGAATTCGGCGGCACGCCCGGGTGCCCGGGTGCCAGGTCGCCCTTTAGCTTTATAATCCTATAGCCTTATAGCCCTAGAGCCCAATAGCCCTAATAGCCCTAGAGCTTTATAGCCCAATAGCCTTTTAGCCCGATCGCCCTATAGCCGTATTGCCTTATAGCTCTATATCCCTGTAGCCCTATAGCCCTATAACGCAATAGCCTTATAGCCCTATAGTCCTATAGCCCTATAGCCTCATAGCCCTATAGCCTTATAGTCCTATAGCCTTATAGTCCTATAGCCCTAAAAGATTATGATTTGGTGTCTTTCTCTAGTATCATGTTCTTAGAACATTTATGGTTGAGACTGTCTTGTTGCATAACATCGGGATGATGTTATAAGAACGCTGCGTTTGTTATTAGAACATTCTGGGGTTACGAGAACAGGTCGTGGTAGGTTGTAGGCCTATAGGAATGCCGGGACGGCGGGCCCCTGCTCAAGAAGTGGTACCCGTACCGCTACCCTTTCCTCGTTTCCCCTTCCTGGGCCTCCTGGGAGGCCCTCGTCGCCACCAAAGGATTCGCCCCGACATTCTGGTCAGAAAGCACCCCAGGAGAGGTCCAGGAGAGTAGCGGTAACTTCAGGAGGTTTTTGGTATTGACCCCCCCTGATCTCTCGGCGGTGAATCAAGCTGGTCCTAAAACCTCCTCGCCGTGGCGGAGGTTACTTTGCCTCTATTGTTGGGAGGGCTGGGTAATGTTGGGGGGTCATTTCTCCAGCGGAATAATCCATTGTGGGCAATCCTGCACGCGGGAGGCTTTGTGAGCATCTTCTCATGAGGATTCTAACAGGGACTGCTTCCTTTTGATTCGTGAGTTTGCTCGAAGTCGTTTGCCTAGTACTGCTGGCAGAGTTCCCGCTGGCGCCTCGTCGGCGCGCGCGGCGACGTGGGATGAGTTTCCCTCTATTGTTGGGCGGGCTGGGTAATGTTTTGGAGGTTATTTCTCCAGCGGAATAATCCATTCTTGGCTGCACGGGGGGTCTTTGTGACCATCTTCTCATGAGAATTGCCACCCACATGTGCTTCGTCTTGATCAGCGAGTTTGCTCAAACTCGCCTGCCCGACATTGCCGGTAGAACGTATGCTGGCACCTGGTCGGCGCGCGCGGCGACGTTGGATTAGTTTTCTTCTATTGTTGGGCGGGGTGGGTAATGATTGAGGGGTTATTTTCTGCAGCGGGACAATCCATTGTGGGCTACCCTGCACGCGAGAGACTTTGTGAGCATCTTCTCATGAGAATTGCCACCCGCATGTGTTTTCGTCTTGATTTGCGAGTTTGCTCAAACTCGCTTGCCTAACACTGTCGGTAGAACTCCCGCTGGCGCCTGGTCGGCGCGCGCGGCGACGTGGGATTAGGTTCCCTCTATTGTTGGGAGGGCTGGGTAATGTTGGGATTTCTTTCTCCAGCTGCATAATCCAGTGTGGGCAATCCTGCACGCGGGGGGCTTTGTGAGTATGTTTTCATGAGGATTCCAACAGGGACTGTTTTCTTTTGATTGGCGCATTTGCGCAAACTTGTTCTATTAGCACCCTTGGCAGAACTCATGCTGGCGCCTGGTCGGCGCGCGCGGCGACGTGAGATGTGTGTTCCCTGTATGTTTGGGCGGGCTGGGTAATGTTCAGGGGGCTATTTCTCCAGCGGAGTAGTGTCTTGTGGGCTGCCCTGCACACGGGAGGATTCCTAAACATCTTCCGACGAGGATTGCAACAGGACTCGCTTCGTTTTGATTCGCGAGTTTGCTCAAACTCGCTTGCCTAACACTGTCGGTAGAACTCCCGCTGGCGCCTGGTCGGCGCGCGCGGCGACGTGGGATTAGGTTCCCTCTATTGTTGGGCGGGCTGGGTAATGTTTAGGGGATCTTTTCCAGCGGAGTAATCCATTGTGGGCTACCCTGCACGTGGGAGGTGTTGTGACCATCTTGTCATGATGATTACACTAGGAATTGCTTCGTTTTGATTTGCGCATTTCCTCAAACTTGTTTTCTTAGCACTGCTGGCAGAACTCCTGCTGGCGCCTGGTCGGCGCGCGCGGCGACGTGATACTTGTTCCCCCCCTATTATTGGACGGTTTGGATAATGTTTGGGGGGTATTTCTCCAGCGGAATAAGTTATTGTGGGTTGCCGTGCGCACGGGAATATTTGTAAACATCTTCCGACGAGGATTGTGATAGGAGTTGTTTCGTTTTGATTCGTGAGTTTGCTCAAAATCGTAGGCCTAGCACTGCTGGTAGAGCTCCCGCTGGCGCCTGGTCGGCGCGCGCGGCGACGTGGGATTAGTTTCCCTCTGTTGTTGGGCAGGCTGGGTAATGTTTGGGTGTCATCTTTCCGGCGGAATAATCCATTATGGGCTACCCTGCACGCGGGAGGTTTTGTGAGCATCTTCTTCTGGCGAATACAATCGGGATTGCTTCGGTTTGTTTCGCGAGTTTGCTCATCCTCGTTTACCTATCACAATAAACCAAACTCCTATCAACGCCTGGTCGGCGCGCGCGGTCAACATGACGATGCTTCCAGCGTGGGCAGTACGGAGTTCGCCCTATGTTGTATGGCCCACGCGACAGAGGATGGATTTTCTGGGGGCCCGCGCGGGGCGTGAACTTCAACAGTCCTCCTCCTCCTCGTCCTGCTCCTCCTCCTCCTCCTCCTCCTCCTCCTCCTCCTCCTGCTCCTCCTGGCGTCCGCCTCCTCCTCCTCCTCCTCCTCCTCCTCCTCCTCATCCTACTTTTGCTCCTCGGTCGGCGTCTAGCAGCGCCGGGGGGGGCTTCTCAGGATGGAGCTTTCAGGATACAGTCGGGGCCCTGAAGAAGGAACCCTTTCCGTTGGGGAGGGGCTCCGTGTTCCTGAAGTGTTTCGCAGCTTGCCTTGGATTTTCCTTGGGTTTTCGATGCGAGATCGAAGTGCAACTCATGGAAAATAGGGGCCTCGTTCCTCGTTTTGGGTTCCTTAGGTCAACGCCCCGACTGTAGAGCTTGTGAGCACCAAGTGTCTGCACCAGGATTTCCCATGAGACTGCTGCTGGCGGGGGCCGCGGGGGAAGCACAGTAGTTTTCCCCTCGACGTGTGGGGCACCCGTCCGTCAAGAAGGCCGCCGAACAAACGGCGAGCTTCTCTTGTTGATAGAGGTGGAGGAGGAGGAGGAGGAGGAGGAGGAGGAGGAGGAGGAGGAGGAGGAGGAGGAGGAGGAGGAGGGGGAGGAGCCTGGCTTCCCCGAGGTGCAGGAGGAGGAGGAGGAGGAGGAGGAGGAGGAGGAGGAGGAAGGAGAAGGAGGAGGAGGAGGAGGAGGAGGAGGAGGAGGAGCTTGGCTTCCCCGAGGTGCACGGTGAGCAGGACGTGGAGGCGCTGCTGGCACTGCAGGGCACCACCGCCGTGCCCGAGGAGACGCTGTCCGGCCTGATCCGCTCCGCCAAGCAGGATCGGACGGGGAGGGGGGCCGGGGCCTCGGGGGGCCGGGGCCTCGGGGGGCCGGGGCCTCGGGGGGTGCGCGGGGCCGTGGTTGTTTATACCGAGGCAAGGCGGGCAGGGGGGGGGCCTGGAAGATTGCTGAAGCTCTGCCAGATAGTCCTGGGATCCTGCCATGCCTCAACGTCCCAGGGGGTGTATATATACATATATGCATATCTATATACATACATATGTATATATATACATATTTACATACATAGTGGCATAGACATATACATGAACATATACATATGTATGTGTATATATATATATATATATATATATATATATATATATATCCCGGGGGACGAGGTCCCCTGGCCGAGCCCAAGGACCTCGGGGGCGCATGGGGGTGCAGGGCCCCCGGGGCCGCTCGGAACGGTTCCCGTTCGGCTCCAGGGGCCGCCAGGGCGGGCTCCAGCCCAGCCAAGACAGCCCGCGAGCGCTCCAACACGCGCCAGCATGGCTTCCAGACGAGCCCAGCGGCCACCAACACGCCCCAAGCGGCCTCCAAGACGCCTCCCAAGAGAGCCCCAAGAGGCAAACAACGCTGTTTTTTCTATGTTTTGTTTGTCTTCTCGCTTTTCCTGCTTTCCGACGCTCCAAGACGGCCCAAGAGGCCCCCAAGAGAGCCCCAGGACGGCCCAAGAGGCCCCTAAGCCGGCCCCAAGACGGCCCAAGAAGCCCCCAAAGGCGTCCCGATATGGCCCAAAAGGTTCCCAGGACGGCCCAGGAGCCGCCCAAGACAGACCCAGGAGGGCCCCGACATGGCCTGAAGACTGCCTAAGCGAGCCCAGCGGACCTCCAACACGCGCCAGCATGGCCTCCAGACGAGGCCAGAAGCCTCCAACACGCCCCAAGCGGCCTCCAAGAGGCCTCCCAACGAGCCCCAAGAGGCCACAAACGTTGATTTGCCATTGGTTTTTTCGATGTTTTTTGCCTTCTCGCTTTTTCTGTTTCCCGACGCTCCCAGACGGCCCAAGAGGCACCCAAGACAGCCCCAGGACGGCCCAAGAGGCCCCTGAGCCGGCCCCAAGACAGCCCAAGAGGTCCCCAAAGGCGTCCCAAGATGGCCCAAGTGAACCCCAAGACAACCCAGGAACCGCTCAAGACAGACCCAGGAGGGCCCCGACATGGCCTGACGACTGCCTAAAAGGCCAGCGAGCCTCCAACACGCGCCAGCATGGCCTCCAGACGAGCCCACAGGCCACCAACGCCCCAAGCGGCCTCCTCCAAGAGGCCTCCCAAGAGAACCCCAAGAGGCCACAAACGCTGATTTGTCATTGGTTCTTTCGATGTTTTTCGCGTTCTCGCTTTTTGTTGCTTTCCGACGCTCCAAGACGGCCCAAGAGGCCCCCAAGAGAGCCCCAGGACGGCCCAAGAAACCCTTAAGCCGGGCCCCAGACGGCCCAAGACGCCCCCAAAGGCGTCCCAAAACGGCCCAAGAGCGCCCCAGGACGGCGCAGGAGTCGCCCAAGACGGCCCCAGGAGGGCCCCGACATGGCCTCAAGATTGCTTAAGCGAGCCCAGCGGACCCCAAGAGGGCCCCACGAGGCCGCAAGAAACCCCCCGAGGCCACCCAAACGCCCCCCAAAAGGCTCCCTGGAGGCTCCCAAGAGGCCCAACAACTCCTCCCAATACGCCCCAGAGACTTCCAGTATGCCTCCAAAAACTGACCCCGAGAGGGTCACGCGAGGCCCCAAGACAGCCCAATGATGGCCACGCGAGAGCCACACCATACATTATGATGAGGAGGAGGCGTAAGTAATGGTGGCGAGGGATGCTGATGACAAGGATGGAAGGGGAGCGAAGGATGAGGAGGACTGGGGAGTGACTAGAGGTGAGGAAGGACGAGAACGAGGTGTAGGAAGAGAAGGAGCGGCAGATTGAAGAGAGCGGGGAGGACATGGAGGAGGCTGATGATGATGAGGAGGAGGAGGACGACGAGGAGGAGAGGAGGACGGGGAGCAGTGACGTAACCAGCCCTTAACATTTACGCTCCCAAGAGCGAAGGGTGCCATGAGCCGTCTCGGGCAAGTTCCTTCAGCGCTCTTTCCGTTTCCGTGCACAACCATTGGCCCATCCATGGAGCCATGACGGGGCCCAGGTCAGCGCCGAGGCTGTTCCCGGAGCTTCCAACAAGGTCTCCGAGTTGCACTTCCGCGTCCTGCTCCACCGACCCCGTACCCCATATCGGCTGAAGACATGATGCTGCTGCCTCCGCAGTCACCAGTCAGTATTATCCTGCTTACTTTTTACGGCATTGCAGGCTGCCATCCATATCGCGGGTCGAGCCGCCGCTCCCTGCACCTCCGTATTCGTGGTCATGGCTCCAGCTGTTACTGAGCGGCCGCGACACACGTGTCATAACTATCCAATCTGCAGTGGACTCCAAGCTCAGATCCCAGTCGAAGGCACCACCAAACGAGAACGTCAAAGATTTTGCAAGCGGCGCCTTTCGGCAGATGCACGGTGTGCCCACCCCCAGTGCGAGGCTCCTGTAGCTCCACCCTTCCGACGGCCAAAAACACATGTCACGCCTACTTTCTGCGCAACGCACGATTCCGACCCATGCCACAATACCACGCGTGAGTGGAACTTGTGTAGGAACGCCCGCGTCGGCTGCCTCCTTCTGGCAACCAACAAATCATCTGGCCCGTGTTTTCCGTGCTCTGAAGGCTCCCTGCCTTGTCGCTTCGCGGTGCTGGGGTGTCCTTCCCACGTCCGGCAAAAGGTCAACAATGCATCGGGCCGGCTTCCGCAATGCGTTAACCATCGCGACTACCATGATTGCCCCTACAACCCTGGTCGGCAATTCGCCTGCGCATCGCCTGGCTGCCAGGAGAAACGGAGCGATGCAGTCCACAGTACTTGCGTCCCATGCCAAGCTGGACGTCGACCGTGCACAGTGTGCTTCTCGCGCCGAGGAGCGCCCAGAACTCCAGATCTGTGCGCTCACTGTGGCGGAGCCAGCCCAGCCGCCAGCCCTTCTCTAGCCGCTCCAGCCCAGTCTTCGACGGCGCTTGCATCTACGTCCTCGCGATGTAGCGCTCCGATGTGCGGGGCGCCAACGGTGCAAGAAAGCACATCTCGAACGGGCGCGCAATGCCCCATGTGCATCGTCGGGGTCTTTCCTTGCGCTACGGCCACCTGCAACTTCCGCGTCCCTCGACGACGCGGACAGCATTGCCTCGTCTGCCAGGCGCCCGCCCTGCTCCACTTCTGCCGCGCGCCCGCGTGTACGAACGTAGTCGAGTCGCCAGAGGACACTTTGTGTTGTCTTTGCACTTCGTCCTGTTTCCCATGCGCGACGCGTAGGTGCGACGGCCGTTCCACCCCTGGTTCAGCAGGCCTGTGTCGACCGCGTGGGCTGTCCACACCACAACCACTACCATCCCTCTCCAAACGATCCTACGAGCAAGCCGAACGCCCTTGTACGGAAGTCGTCCGACGGCCTCTGCGTCGCGTGCATTCGGAAAGGGAAGCCATGTAGCAATCGCGCCATTGGGTGCGCTTTTCGCGTGGGCCCTCTCGGCACCGCGGTGGAATGTAGGCACTGTTGCCTCGCGGGCCCCCCTTGCCAGGGGCCCGGAAAGGCCGGCTGCCGCGCCCCCGCCCGCCATGGCGTGCGACGCGCAGTGCCGCGCAACAACGGCATGTGCGAACGTTGCTTTAAACCCACATGTTCCTTCCCATTGTGCGACAGAAAGTTGACGAAAGCAATGTGCGCCACTGGATACTGCCCCGACCACGTCCGACATGCCGCGGTAGCCACCGCCGCCGCCGGGCCCCATCATCCTCCGACGTCGGGGTTTTCTGGTGTCCCACACGCCCGAACACGTAGCGATCCGTTGCAAGCACTCCGCAAGCAGGTGGCGGCAGCCGCCCGCATGTACCTCCGAGCACGTGACTCGCCGAAATGTTCCGTGCCGTGGTGTCGCCTCATGTCCACCCGCGTAGCACTTCCGAATTCGTCCAGCTGTCCGCCCGCCTGCGCAGCGCGTCGGTACTGGTTCGCAGAACCCGTGCCTGGGACTTCTCTTGGCGTACGCACCGGCCACCGCGCCGGCTGGTGGTCGACAGACGAATGGTGCAGCAACCGCGTTCCGAAAGCGTCGCTCTCTCCGACCGGTCACTTTCAAGGAGCCTGCGCAACGCGCGGGGCTCTGCACTTCTTCGCCGAACGCGCGCGTTGCCCGGCAGCACGCAGAAAGGACTTCGGCGCGTGCTGCAGGCACGGAGCCCTGGCTGGCATCCCCCACTGCCTCCCGCTCCGGCCGAAATGGCTCAGCCCCTTCGTCCGGGTCCTTCCCACGACCACTTCATGCAGCACATTCGGTCGTGCAACTGCGCCCTTGGATTCGCATCCTTCAACAGCGAGAGCACTGTCGCCGCGCGGAAGACCCCCGCGGAGGTCTCCTCTAGCAGAGGTCCGCCGGTGTTCGTACTCCACGGCCGTGCCTTCAGGTCCGTTGGCACGCTGTACCCAGTAGCGAGTCGCAGTCCGAAGTACTCCCAACTCTACATTTACGACCCCGCAGAAGCGACGACAGCCCGAGCCGAGTCGTTCCCCGACCTGCAACGAGACGTCCTCGACCTCCTGCTCAGAATGCTCGTGCGCACTTCCGCCAACCCGTACCCGTCGCACTTCCGACGCTTGCGCGACGTCGTCCAAGCATCTAGGGCCGCCAATGGCGCATCTGCCCCCGAACACGTGCTCCGTTTCGCGGGGGGTGTGGAAAAGGACCCGCGACGATACGGCGCCCCGTCCGCGGCCGAGGTGGCCTGCGCCGTTGTCGGCGAGGGGCCCCTGCCCCCCCGCTGCGTCTTTGTGTTTACACGTCGCACAGACGGCTCCGACGCAACCCACGAGTTGTCCTTCTTGTCCGAGCACGTGGACCCGCTTACGTACCCTCTCATCCACGTCGCTGGCACTGTCGGTTACTCCGCCGCATTGCACGCGGACGCCG